TACCGAAACTGACATTGAAAAATCCTGCAGCAAGTAACAAACTCCTTATTGCAAATGTTCGTAACGCTTGCTTGTTGTCCAAACAGTGAAACATAAATTGTCCGTTACATCTCTCAGTTTGATAGACTGTGTAAAATTTGTAGAGCTGTTCATCTGCAAAATGCAGCAGATACACATGCCATTTGAGTTACAAAACAACGAATATGCCGTTTGTATCGACGAAAATGTATTTTAGTATGTCACAAAGATATACGCTCACGCATACTCCAGCACCCTGCCTTGAATTCCTGTATGCACTGACTCAACCAGTTGCTTATGGGCTCACTAGATTATTCTGTGAAACCACTGCAAACGTTGCTCGATTACCAAATATACCTATCTAGTTAAAAAAACTAGTTACCAATGGATTGCTCGGCTCCAGGCTTAACTCAATCGGTAAGTAGCTGTGTATTCTTGCTCTTCAGGCAGCGGGTAGATGGCATGGGGATGGCTCCACCCACTATATTCTGTGAGGAAAATCTTTTACTGGGACAAATCAATTTACTTTTCCTGTCTATAATTGTTTGACGGACTGGTAACATGTTCCACTTATAAAAAGGATAGATTATTGGCTCTAGCCACCTTTTGAATAGCAGCATAAAATCTAGAAGCATACTTTAACCACTAAACGCAGACTCAACAGACCCCAGACAAACTACCTAGATAGATGAGACGCTTTGCTTCGAACTCACTTGGAATGTATATTGCATTTGGCTTTGTGTCCAACAGAGTGGGCCACTTAATTTGGTGTCTTCTTAGTCTAGGCAGTCATGTGAAACTGGGTCTACAATACATTCGTCTAAGCTGTCTACGAACTTACTACAACCTTCGGGTCCGCCGCCACTGGAACGCCATTACAAACGTAGTTGTTTGTACTCCCAACTTAGCCGTTTTCAAAAGACGATATGATATCGCATTGCGTTACATACGTTTTGTTACCTGAACGGATACTCGGGATATATATGCAGGCCAACGGGCGTTTTTAATATTATAACCCATAGTGACGCAGCTAATTGTGTACAGACGGGTGAACATCCCGATGGTCATTTGTTATGAGCATTAACAATAACAAGAATTTATTCGGCTTTGGTTGAGACTTCTCATCTACACAACCCTGTTTCTCTATGTTATTATTCTACCGCTTCACAGATGCGCATTTGAATGGGTCCAATTACGTCGTATTCCAAATTGCAATGATTAGTATTATTACTCTATGCTTTCTAATTCTTATAAGCAATAATTTCCTTGATTTAACGTCCAACAACGAGAGATTGGAGAAAAACTATATATATATATATATATATATATATATATATATAAGTTAAGGTACTTCACAGCCATCTTTCAAGGCAGATAGTCGTCCGAATGCTTGGCAAAGAGCGAGACTGCATTTTTAGCCAGTTGGGCATCATGAGTAGTGCGCATCCATCGTATTCATCTGGATTCACACCCATGACTACCAGGGGGCCTGAACCGCAAGTTAACAGATTATGCCACTGGGCCACGGGGGGCCAGCTTCGGATAGTCATCTTTTACAACTTAACTGCAATATAGCGTATCGTATCCTCCACTTCCATGCAACTTACGGACGTTGAAGAGGACAGGGTTGGCCCCGAAAGACACGACTTCCACTAACAGTAGGTAGTCATGAGTGCCAATGCTGATGCTTCCGATGGATGCACACTATTGATGTTGCACAACAGGCTAGAACTGCCGTCTAGTGCATTTCCGAGCATGCGGACGTCTAGCTGATTTGGAAGCTGGCTGCGAAGGCCTTCAAGTAATTACAACAAAATCCCCTTGTCATGATTATATATATATATATATATATATATATATATATATATATGGTTGGTTGGCGGCATCCGGTTTCGGATTTGCCTGTCACTGTGGCCAGTTACAGGACGCCTGCGCCTACAGAGGGACCATGGGTGGCTTGCGCTGCACCACCCACAGCTCCAACCACACACCCCAAATCCAGTGTAAACCCGAAGGAATAAGATCGGGAGGCATGTGGATGGGAGCCACATTCCATCAACGGAGCCGGCCCACACTCATTCACAGGCAAACACAAGCACGCTGTATTTGGGGAATCAACCGCACACAAGGCGGCGGCTGGACCGTAGTCAGCTCCACACTGGATGCATGGAACCACTCTTCGAGTCTAGCACGGCCACAACGACCGTGCACCCCGTCCCCTCCAGCAACGACCAACTGTCTCCTGGAGTCAGTATGGACGAGGTAGTGAGTAATAGACAGGTAGGCACCTTGTCAACATGCACTTCAAGCGCAGCCATACCTGGAATATCAAGCAAAAGCCAATCACTTGAAAAGACAAACTGAAATAAAATTAACCCAATAATGCATACAGATACGGTGGCATAATTCTTCGCTAAATTGCCATATGAAGTAAGTAGGTTAACAATGAATCCGCGATAAGGAAAAAATGTCCACAAATTACTCAAAAATGCTACAAACGCAACAAAATTACCGAAGATAAGCGCAATTAGCGTAAACAACGTGGCCAGCTAACAGAAGACTATTCAGATAGGCAAAACAAACCACATAAACTGAAATGAAATTTATGCAGCTTAAAGAGACCTAGTTTACGTGTAAGTAGGTTTAGCCCAACTGCGGTGAAGAAGCATCAAGAATGCAACATCAGCCTCAGCATGTGGCACATATATATATATATATATATATATATATCGTTTTGCCAAAGAAATTCATCTACTTCTGCGCCATAACAACTAACTAAATCAAAAATTGTTCAGGCTAGCGAGAAAAGCTTGAAGAAACACATCTTTTCGAACTTTCGTTAATATTAAATAATCTATCGTTTTCAATATACCTGCGTGTTGTCGTTGGTGTGTATAAAAGAGTAATTTTCTCCTTATAATTGTGTATTCTCCTACTTTGGAATATATCCTAGTTATTGGGAAATAAACCCATACGCAAACATATCTTGGTACATATCGTGTTATATAACCCCAGCACGATGCTTTTTTGTTTGATAAAATGTCTTCCGGAAAACTTGGATTCACCCTGGTCGTCTGTCCGTTGCAATCACGTTGTATTGAGTGGGATACAAGGTTCACCGATACATTTGGAACTCCTTTCTCCTCTCACGCTTCCGTACCTGTCGTTTGTACGATAAACGCAGGCAGAAGGCTAAGTGAGTTCATCAAACCTTAGTGGTGGAGCAGCGCTCAGTATATGAACGCTACTGAGTATACTCAGCTCGACTACAATTGGTCAAGAGAGGAAACATTTTGATGCACTGATTGGATACCTCAGACCACTCGCTTGAGCCGGACAAATCCGACATTACATACAAATACCTCCGGAAGAACCGTGGTAACTAACCGCTAGAGCTCATGGGACATAACTTGTTGTGCCAACGGAGAATCGCTCCTCCGCGTGAACACATTTAATTCGAGCCTCAGTAAAATGTGGCAGTCACCTCTCAATTAGAATGCCACAAGAGTCAGTCGGTGTTCATCGACCTAGTGGATTGTTTATAAGTACACTTTTTTCAATAATATCTATATCTACCACTCGTGGAGAGAAGTTAAGAGGTACAAGTGCTGAATTGGTTGCTCAAACCCCCGGTGACATTACCCTCGGTGGCTTGTTCCCTGTGCATACCTCCGGAGTAACTATGTGCAACGCCATTAATCCGGAACGTGGAATCCAGCGGGTGGAAGCGATGTTGTTCACGATTGATGAGATTAACAACAACACCAGTCTTCTGCCTGGATTACAGCTTGGCGCGGTGATCCGAGACACTTGCTCGGCGAGTAACTATGGACTAGAACAGGCGTTACGCTTCGTTCAGGGCAACGGCGATACTTCTGGGACAGCAAACTCATGTGGAGCTCCGGAGCAGTGGAAGAATCTTAAGCAAGAAGCTGGAAAAGATAGGCCGATGGCACGTGGCGTAGTGGGCAGTTCGTACAGTTCAGTGTCAATCCTTGTGGCAAATCTTTTTCGGCTATTCGCTCTCCCACAAATTTCATACGCATCAACTAGCGCGGTGCTTAGCGATAAGCGTACGTTCCCATTGTTTGCGCGTACCGTACCTTCTGATGTTGTACAAGCAAGGGCAATGGCAACTTTGGTGTCCGCTCATAATTGGACATACGTATCCACCGTACGCAGTGCCGGTGACTACGGGGACTCTGGCATGGATGCTTTCTGGAGAGAAGCTGATAAACTTGGTGTGTGCATAGCAGCTCGTGAAATTATACGAAGTAACACGGGCACAAAGGACTTGGACGCGATCGTTCGCGTGCTCAGGTATGACTTTGCAAAAGCTAGGGTGGTCGTGCTATTTACCGGAATGGACCACACAAAGCTGCTTTTGGACGCTGTTCGACGAGCAGGATTGGTAGATCACTTTGTCTGGATTGCCAGCGATGGTTGGGGCCGTGAGAATCTTCCGGTGTCGAACAACTCACGAGTAGCGAACGGGGCACTGACCATTGAGATCCAAGCTAAACCTGTACTTGCCTTTACGGATCACTATTTAAACCTAACCTACGAAAATTCTCGAAATCCATGGTTCAGGGAGTACTGGGAGGATCTGTTTGGTTGTAGCTTCGATAAACTTAATGAGAGTGGAACTAGAGGGGCCTCCGTTGTCAACAGTACTCAAACTCTTTTAAAACACACTCGACTTGCTTGTGATCTCAACCCACGCCAACGGCTCCGTGATCGTCTCGGAACGGACTTTAAACAGGAAGCCAAAATTCAATTTATTTACGATGCCGTATATGCATTTGCACACGGACTGCACAAATTGCAAGAGAAACTGTGCCCTGGAAATCCTTATCATCCGAATTGGAATAAAAATGTGTGTGTGGAGAAACTTCTGGCCTACCCTGGCACGGATTTTTACCAGACTATTTTGGGCACGTCTTTCACCGGTGCGTCTAACATTGATTTGTTTCGTTTAAACCTCAATTTGTGACTTAGTCAACCACATTGCACAGAGTAGTAATATTCAAAGTTGCACTTGGAGAGCAGTAACATGTTGGGTCAAACAGATTTATTAAGCAGTTAGTATATGCTTTTATACAAAAGTTTTGACATAATGGCAGACAAGCTGTTTGCAGTACACTTCATCACATATACTGTGACGTTATATTGGTAGGTGATGCACTGTAATTAGATGGATTTGAAGTGGACATCCGAACTCTTGAACCGTAGTATGGGCATTACTAGCGTCGATAGACTAAGCTGCGATTAATCAAGCAAACTGTATTTTAGTATTCTTCTCATGCTTGGTTAAAACTATCTTATCCTCCCTCCTTTTCGATTAATGATCTTAGATACCTGGTATCAAAATGCGTTCCATAGAAGTTCATACGTTTTATTACCGGAGTTGTAGTTTACTGACATATCGGCTGGTCGCAGCGGAACAGTGTATAACTGTTTGTGAGTGAACCCCCTCCATCTGAGAGAGTGAAAATAAAACTGCTATTTTCAATCCGATTTTGTAGATACAATTGAAAAATATCTGCTCCCATTTACAGGCTAAGCACTGTTTAACTAACTGGCATTGCCAGTTCACCTCAGTGAATCGGCAGAATGCATCAACAGGTGCCCATATTTGGGGGAGTTTTCGATCGTAATCAGTACTATGATAGCCAACAATGAGTGTATACGTGAGTTGTAAGTTACTAACAAAGTATCTGAAAGCCTCTCAGCCACACACTAGTGATCTGCTCATGGATTCATTCACCGTCACAGTCTTGCAAGTGACCACCTTTGAATGTGAACTAGTTATTCAAGTGTCTGCTTCCGGATGTGGGGATTGCATTTGATTAACTCGGTTAAGCCTCTTCGCCTAACTATTCAGCATCCGGAAAGTCCCCCAACTATTTACAGAACCGGTGCAGTGTCTCACCCTTTTATTCACTTCGTAATCATTCTGCTCGGTTTACCCGTTCAACGCTTCTTACAGTGTGTTAGTTGTCAGGCTGAGTTTGGCCACGAAAAGTCTTTTCCAAAACGCCCCATTCATCTGTAACCATACATCTTTGGTTTTTGGTGACCTGGAAGGACTAGACATTGTGGTTTACACTATATTATTGTCTTCCGGAAGAAATTGCATCTTCGGAACCATGATCCCTGTCAATAGTCGTTGGTTAACAGTTACTTGTGGAGCCATTCACTAACCGTGTAAACTGTGGTCGTCACAAATTCCCAACATCTGTGTGGTGTGGCATCTATATCCAATATTGACCATGGACACTGAGAGTAACAATGGTAGCACATTTTATTTGTTTGCATTTTTGCCTTTTCTATTTACCTTTTCTGCTATGAATACGTATTGATTTGTTTTACTTCCTCAGCACAGCTCGTCATCTTTAAAGTTAATTACAATCATGGGCTACTTTTACGGTTGTATAAACCCTGGCGGGTAAACGCATGAAAAATTTACTGGAGTCAACAACGAAGACAAAGATATTTTCCTGTAGATTGCCCTAAGCATATGCAACCGTTCTCTCTGACCATGACCAATGATACTTGCCAACGGTTTGATACAGTAAACGTGTGCCACCGGACACTTTGACACATAGGCATTCGTTACCCAATACTCTGTAGAGCGAATTGAGCTGAGTATATGTTTACAGTTGGCGGCGCAGTCTGTTCTAGGCAGTCGGACAGTGCCATTCATGCGTTACCTGACGTAAACAATTGCACATTCTCACACTTGGCTGACAGCATCACACCTGAAATAAAGGGGCGTATAAATGTGGCCCACAGTGTCTATTCAGCTCCCCAATTTAATGGCATGAAGTATGCAACGTCAGCCAGTAGTGTGTATCGGACAGCTGTCAACAAAATAGTGAACTACAACGAATAAATAAGCGATATGGAGAATATTCTCAGAAATAATCGACCAGCGCTACTCAGCCGGATCACCGCTGTTGCACACAAAATGTATGCTGGTTAAAGTGGCAATGAAGCATTCGGCATATGCTTCATTACGCGACGGAGAGTGCACCCCAAAGCGTTCCGACGCACTCCTATAGTAACAGTCAAGCAAGACTAGGATCCTGTCTCTCTTGTTCGTTTAAAATTGTACAATTATGACGTGCTGACCTCATCGGACATTGACAAACATGATTAAAATTCAGCATGAACTATTTTTACACAGAGGCCATAATGATGCGCGACGGGCGCTTATATCAACTTGGAGATTTTAAATATAAGGAAAACTTACAAGTTACAATACATGGCAATTATTTCTGTTTTCCTGTATAGTCTTCCTATCCTATGATATTTTTAAGCCTAATCCATTATTTGGAAGGCTTCCGCATTGCAAAGTATGTTGGTACACCTGCTTTATTTGACAGTTCGTTTCTTTTCATCATTATGATAAACATATCAATCATTAGGAATTTTTGTTGAGGATAAAGATATGCAACTCACTTTGCACCAATTCCAAACCATAAAGATGGGGCGACAATGGGATCAGGAAATATTGACCTTGCAGTCGTTTAAATCAGTGTGAACTTCCGCCTACCTGTGCGAGTAGCTGCCCTGGGGTACTTATGATACACACTTTTAGGTGTAGTAAACAATTTCCAATAATATCTATTGTATGCAGTTTCACAAAGCATCAGTGACAATTATCAGCTGTGCTAGAATCTACCTTTACCGAAATCCTCAATGATAGATACGACCATATTTAAAGCGTCTGTCCACTTCGAACATCATACAGCGGCTGAAATTCTTATCATAGTATTGTGACCGAGGCATTCCGAATATTTCAACTTCATGAACAATTTTAGCGACGTGAAGTATCATGTACAAGTCCACATCATTGTCTACCTTCATCAACAACTTTATTCTGCATAATACGTGTTAAATTTGCCTCTTAGGAGCAGCAGAACGATGTTAACAATAACGACCTTAGTCATACCTGTCTCCATAGAGGTACCTTGATAACAGGAAAAATAACGAAGTCCCGAATTGGCTAGTACAAACGACGTAGTTCTTGTCAGTATCCAATCTTTGAGGGTTCGTTGTAAACGTTGTGTCATCAAGCTGCAAAGGATCGTGTTCGCATGCCGGTTCCACTAGAAGCAGGCTCCTAGCTAATTGGCCTTCAAGGACCGCTAGCATAATACAGCTCACAAAATAATAAAATCTCCCTGCTTCTTTGTTAAGGTACCGGGCTAGCTCACGCTATCCGCGGTCGCAAGTAGTCAACCAATAAGAATTTCATTTCCATGAATTTTCTCAACTGTTAGAACAGGGCAGACGCACAGAATAAGGTGCAGCGTACATGAAGTGACGCAATTATTACCAAAATTAGTTGCCTATATAGGGTATCAAATGCCCCGTCGAAGTCCATTCTGTAGAATAGGTCTAATCAAATAATGGGTTGTTTCCGAATGCGCGTAGTTGGGTCAATGGTATAGTATCACACAGAATCATCATCCAAAACATTCAAGAAACCGTTAATCAACACGGGATACTCCATACTTTCGTGTCGTGATATCTGTTAAAAATCCTCCGCGTGTGCTCGAGTTCTGGGCACGGAGCAAGAAATTGTCGAGTGTGAACTGGGGAATCATATTTAAAGTATATTGCGAAAGCATTTCATCACTGGTTAACTCATTTTGTCCATTTCATGACATCCACTCGAGTAAATTGACCTCTTCTCACCGTTAGTGCGCTTCAACTCTGTCCAGTCTACACCCGCTTTATTTGTGACCGTTTAGCCATGTTCACCCTAGGCCAGACCTAGTCAGTTCAGCTGCAGACAGCTAGCATAAACAGCAGTTGACACTCTTTTTGTCCATTGGCTTGCTAGAGTATAAACATCACCACGCAAACTGCTGGTTCCGTTTAGCAATAATGTCTGGCGATCCGCAAAGACCCGCTGACAAGGATAAAGAACCCCGGAATTTGTAACAGATGAATGGTATATATTACTTGGCCGACATTACTATACTCAACGACGCTCGTCGAACTCAGTTGATCTCATCAGATGGATATAGCAGGCATTGAACCTGGAGCCATTGGTAGGTTAGTTGGAAACGTTGCCCTCATACTGACCAAGACATGAAGGGCAACGCTAGTCACAACAGGAATTTATTGAATTATTGATGTGTAACGGCTAAATAAACTAACACAATAGATCCCGTAGGCTGATTGATATGAAGAATGGCTGAATTAACGAAAAGTAGGTAAAGGAATTTCAGCGCGCACTGATAAACTCAGAAAATTGTTCCCACTATAACATGTATAAGTCGATCTACTTCAAATTTCTGAATATACTGATCGGTCTTGGTACCTAGACATCCAGAAAAACACAAGTCATTGAGAAAATGAAAGCGACGCAGAGCGTCCTCGAGTTAATTTTATTCAAAAACTGAAGTCATAAATGATGTACTCGAGGTGAGCATTCTTACTATTGACCCCCTTGAAGGAAGAAAATATTTGGCGGCATTTCAAATGATGGATTCTTAGGCTGGTGCAATAAATGAATTACAGAATAGGGTACCAAATGTGTACAGATCCTACAGGTTTTGATGGGCTACCAAGTAGCACTTCTATTTCTTCGTCGGTTTACTAGTTACAACATCCCAGAAAATCATCCGCTTGCAAATACTGGATTTGATTACATACCAAGCGATGGTCGAGAGATTGCTTTCCATACAAACTGTGCCATCCTGATGGCTGCTTTTAGGTAACTGCAACTCAATGTGGCGGGTCCAAGAGCTGCTTTCATAATGGAATACAGCGCATGTCACCCACTTCCATATGAATTGTCCACACGCTATCCAAACTTCATGTTTATATACAGATATATATATATATATATATATATATATATATATATATATATATATATATATATATATATATATATATATATATATATTGGTGCCCAATGTTGAAGTTACGTTACATTTTTGATGCTTCTTCACCGCAGTTGGGCGAAGCCAA